TCATCCGGATGGTCCGCTTCATCCTGGCCGTGGGATTTGCGGCGCGTCTTGCCGCCGTCGCATCCCCGGCCCCCTGCCGTACTGCGCATGCTCGAGCATGCGCAGTACGGCAGCCTCCCCCTCCGACTAGTATCTTCCTCCCCGGCATCTGATCGTGCCAGGGAGCAACGGAGCACGGCTACCGGGATCCGTGGGATCCCGCCGCGGCATTTCTTCACCCCGTCTTTTCCCTGCCGTGTGGCAGGGGCCTTAGTAAATCAAATATGACATCCCTTCCCCAGGATTTTTTGATCTTATTTCATGTTGAATTGCAATGTGTGTTTTAAAGTTTTCTCAAAATAAGTTTAAAAGCCATTCTGTTAAAACTGAATTCATTCCACAAATGAGCTGCTGTCCCTTGTCAGTCTTGTTCTTTATTGTTTGAATACTGGAACATGCCTTGGATTTCCATCATGCCCTGACTTGGTTTCCAGAGTGTACCAACCCATAACAGTGCGCTTCTTTGGTATTTCTTCTTTCTGTACCTTTTTGTTCTCTTAAACTGGCAGCCTAAGTGCTCATATCACCATGTGTTTGCAATTTGGAACCTCAGGACTTAATAGAAAATAGGTCCCTCATTGCTAAAGTAGATCAGCCCAATAGGTTATGGTCAAATTGGTATTAAGGAGATGGAGAAGCTTTTTCAATTATTTTGAAATTTATTGATTGGATTATTATTTTTTGTTGCTATTTATGGTAGGATCCACTTAATTGTAGCTCCCCTATACATTTGTGGGTTCTTTAACAATGTTATTACTAATTTAAACTTCAGTTAGCAGCTACTCAAAAACATAAGCATTAGATCTCCAAGGCAGAACTCCCTTCCTTTGCTTTGGATTTCAGTTGTATGGGAAGACTGTCAAGCCTTAAGTTTCAGCTGCACAAGTTTGTTCTGGCACTGCACTTTTGAGAATTGCCTTCTGGTCTCAGAGACGCAGAAGAAAGCAAAGCTGCACTTCTGTGTTGCCACCCTTGGGTTTCTTTATAACTAAGGTGCTCTATGAGGACATTAAATTACTTGTGAAGCAAATAATCGAGGGTTCAGTTGAGTGCAGAACTAGATTAAACATAACTTCTTGTTGTCCTTAGCCAGGGCTGTATGTGCTCTGTATCTAGAAAATACAAGTTCTGAAAAGCGTCATTTGTATAACATTTCCCTAATTTGTTTGCAACTTTTTATTATTTAATCTTGATTGTTGTGACTGAGCGAAATAATTATCTTTTATTGACCTATACTGAAAAATGTTATGATAAGAAATCTATATATTGCTCATGAATTGTCCCCATGAATTGCACAGAGAGTTGGCAGGGTACCAGATTGCCACCCACCACGCTGCAAGCACTGGAAATACCATTCAGTCCCCCTAGCTTTTGAGGCTCAGGTTACATGGGATGGTGGCAGATCACCTTGCTGTAATTGAAAACAAAACATGGGATATGGGAGATGATGAGCAGACTTCTTTAGGCTCAGACAGGAAAGAACCTAGGAAATCAGGAGTAACAGTGGTGAACTCCTGAAGGGGGAGAGCTTTATTTTCCCCAAGAATATTAAAATTACTCATGATGTGCTGGGCCATTCCCATCAGTTCCTAATCCTCTTAACTGTAAGAAGTGACAGTACCTGAACTTTCCTGAACCTTCAGCAGCAGAAAGGGGGAGAAAATAAGAATGAAGTCTTGGTCTCTTCTCTTCTGGTACCCTGGGTACCGCCACCACCCATTTATCTTTAATTTTGGGACTTTCCCCCCTCCCTTCCATTTTGACTTTTAGTAATATTGTGGAGATAAATGTTACATCTGCTTAGTGTTTTTTAATTATGTACTTGTTTCTCTAAAATAAGGATGTGGAAAAACGGTCCATTAAGAAGTAGTGAGGGAATTGTTATCACTATAAGATGTACAAATTTACTATATTCTGGTAGACATTGGGCAACAACAGGACTTGTTCATTGTTTTTAGAATGTGTGGTTCTTTTGCCTAAAGTTATACTCAATTCAACAGAATTAATTTTAAAGTAAATTGCTTATATGACTTGTCAGTTTCAGTGGAAAACTTTAATTTCTTTAAAGGTAATAACTTTACACGGCCTGGGACCAACATATCTGAGGGACTGCCTCTTCCCATACATGCCCCAAAGAGTACTGTGCTCTATGGATCAACACCACCTGGTAGTACCTGGCCCGAAAGACATCCGTCTTGCCTCGACCAGGGCCAGGGCCTTTTCTGCCCTGGGCCCCCTGCCTGGTGGAGCATGCTCCCCATTGATAACTTATATTCACAATAATTGACCAACACATAAACCGATAACATTTTGTAACATGGGTAAAATATATCACATTAAAATAGGAACAGAATTTTAAGACTGGTTATAAAAAACACCATAAAAACCATAATGATTAAAATTAATAAACTGTAATTTTAATTCTCCTCTTTTCGAGCTACTATAGATTTTCTAATTCTTAGGGCAAGCCATCCGAACCTAGTCACCCAATAAGTAACTTCTGCCTGGCTATCCGATAGCAAATTTCTTAAAAGGCAGATTCTTTGCCTGCAAGAGAGAGGGAGTGTCTTAGGGAAAGGAAGAGACTTGCAGATGTTAGTATATGCTTTACAATAAAAAATTACATGCTCTACAGACTCAGTGAGCCAGTTTGGTGTAGTGGTTAGGTGTGCGGACTCTAATCTGGTAGAACTGGGTTTGATTCCCCATTCCTCCACTTGCACCTACTGATATGACCTTGGGTCAGTCACAAGCTCTGGCACAGCTGTCCTTGAAAAAGAGTAGTTTGTGTCAGAGCTCTCTCAACCCCACCCATCTCACAGGGTGTTGTGGGGAGGGGAAGGGAAAGGAATTTGTAAGCTGCTCTGAGACTCCAAGTGTAAATCCAATCTCCTCCTCCTCTTCCTCCTCCTCTTCCTCTTCTTCTCCACCATCTGCCCAACAGGGACATATCCTTTCTTCGTAAGGAGTCTTGTTAAATTTTCCTTCCAGGACTGCAGATGGGAGTACATCCCAATGCATTAGTGTAAACGTTCTTCTGTAGGCGTGATTTAATAAATGGGAAAGGTAGGGCATAGGGATTACTCTGTTATCTGGAGCCAGGAGGACTCGCCATTTCTTCATCATATTTAGATCATGTTGTCTTGAGATATCCAGTATTCTCTGTTTCACCATAGACTTGGCCTTTTCATAACCCATAATTTCTTATCTAGCACCTTAAACCAAGGGGGTTCAAAATGGTCTAACATCATTAAACTTGTCAATCCCTTGGGTAGAAAAGGTAGCTTTAGCCAAAACATTGTCATCGCAATCCAATAGCTTTGCCTCAACCATAATCACGCCTGTCTCTATACGAATAAGGGCATTTGGAACGCCATTAGGGGCTTGTAGTATTGCTCTCAAAAATTTTGACTGAACTGTATCTGCTTTCTTAAGGCTTACTGTAATGTTAATGGGGCGCCATATGTGAGCTGAGACAAAGATTTAGCTGGAACATGCTCCCAATTGAGATCAGGGCCCTGCGGGACCTTCTTCAATTTTGCAGGGCCTGCAAGACGGAGCTGTTCCGCCAGGCCTTTGGCTGAGGCAGTGGACGTCCATATATGGCCTCCCTGAGGTGTTTGTCACTCTGTTAACAACTACTGGCTATGGCCAGGAACCTCCCACAACCAGAAAATTTCTTTGTTATCAGCTGTGACCATCATTTTTATATTTATGATGATGTTTTACATTTAAATTTTTATTGTATTAACTAATATATTTTGTATAAATGAAGTGTTACCTGCCCTGCGTCCGCTTCTGGGAAGGGCAGCCTATAAATGTGAATGAATAAACAAACAAATAATTATCTTACCTGAATATTCATAAGAGAATTTCAAAGCATTTGTTATCATTTGTTCAGAACTGAGATTCATTGACAGTTTTATATTTGACTGTTAACAGGAACTTCCAGTTTGGCCACATGGATGGAAATGAATACATTAATAGTTTACTAATGGAGTAAGTGCATTATTTCTGGAAGATTCACGCTTTGTGTAGACTGTAATTCCTGTTTGAAAAATTGACTGACTCAAGAACAGGCCTTGCATAATTCAGGGCAGTGAACTGTGCATGGTAATTACATTTGCAAGAGTAATTTCCTTCATAAAATGCTTGCATTAGTCATGTTGTATTTGGAAAATGGTCTCACGATTTGACTGCACTCGTACTCTGGATTTATGTGTGTTTGCATTTGTGCACTTTAGTGACACAGATGCATTTTTTATATATAGGAACTGCTTTAGTTTTCAACAGTTTATATATCATTTTTCCACCAGATGGCAGCAGTAGAAAGAAAACAATGTAAGAATGGGAGCTAGGATCTAAAAATGAAACAATTTATACTCTATTGTGAAATGTAAAAATTGCACATCTTTTGAGGAGAAAAACATATTGGTATTTTTATAACTTCTGTTTTCATGCTTGATAAAACTTGATTTTTTCTGCTGTTTTATAGTCAGACAAGCTATACTGTGTGGGAGGCGTGTACTGTGCCCTGAAATCTGTGCCTTGGAAAGGTCCAGAAAGTCATTCTCCATTTCAAACTTTTACATCAGGAGAAATTATCTTTGTTTATGACCATCAACTGAAGTTATGCTAGGCCTTGCATTCAGGACATTACTGCTTTTACCTCTACTACCATGGAGAACCAAAGGATTAGATATTTTTGCCTGTGTTATCCTTGTGGACTACAGTGAAACCAACTCTCCCTGGTTTGGACTATTTGAGAAACTGCAGTAACACAAGGACAACTGTCTACATCATTCCCAGTGTGCGGGTTAAGTGATGACTCACCAGACAGATGAAGGCTATGCTTTGGGATTCTAATGCTGTGCGGCATTTGCGAGCTATTTTGCAGATAAAGTCTCGATGCTCTGTCGCGATCTCCCCGCCACACTTGAGACAGTGAGTGAACTTGAGGCCCCTTGCACGTCTTTGGAGCCGGGTTTAGTGTGTTTTGACCGACTCAGTCTGGAGAAAGTTGACAGATTGCTCGTAGCTGTGCGCCCAACCACATGCGACCTTGATCCTTGCCCCTCTTGGTTTATTAAAGCTGGTCATGAGGGGTTCCGAGGTGCCCTGCAGGAGATTATCAACATGTCCCTCATGGAGGGACAATTCCCTAGGGCACTCAAGGAAGCGATGGTCCGCCCTCTCTTGAAAAAGCCATCTCTAGACCCGACCGAATTGGCTAATTATCGGCCGGTGTCTAACTTGCCCTATTTGGGCAAGCTCATTGAGAGGGTGGTGGTGTTACAGCTTCAGAGTTTTCTGGAGGATGCTTCCGTCCTCGATCCCTACCCTATTAAGCACACTTTCATAGCCTTTTTGCAAGAATTGTTTTAAATTGACAAGAGGAGTGTATGGATAGGTTAAGTCCTGCAGTCATCTCCCTAGCAACTTGTACATAAGAGGAAAATCTTAGCAGAATCAATAGGCTACAGTTTGCCTTCTTAAGGAAAAGAATTAGTATGTATATTTGTATGAATGCACTAAATACCGGTGAGGATTTTTTTCTATTTAGTTTCTAAGTTTGGTTTACTTTCAGTGATTTGAAAATCCCCACTGTTGTTGTATTGAACACATCCAATCAACAATATTTCCTGCCTCATAAACCCATCGAGAACTCTGAAGATATGGTACAGTTCATTAATGAGATCTTGGAAGGCACTGTAGAAGTGAGTAGTTTCCTATAATTCTACATCTCTTTAACAGTATTTTGCACTCTGTGAAAACAGACATTGATAGTTAGGCTATCTTGCCTCATTTGTCACCTCTAGCTTGAAGGTCTATGGGGCTCTATATATGTTTTGAAATTTATTGAAACTCAGTCTGTCCTGGAGCTTCCCTAACAGCTCTGAAAGTATTGTGGGTCTTATAGCATACTTAAGTAAGTTTCACTGATGACGCACTAAACCCATGTGGAAGTTTTAGGAGTGTTGTAAAGGACAAATGCCAAAGCCCAAATGAGATGCAGTTATGGAGGTAGGGACAAATCCATTCAGGGCTAAAGTGCTGCTTGAGGGAGTAGATTTGTTCCATTTCCTTGACTTAACTTGCTTCTTTCCCCAGAAACTGTTGTTTGTTGGGGGCAGGGTAGATGTGGGAACCTATATATGATAGTCCTGATTTCCTCCTTCCCCCAATTTATTTTAACCTTTAAAAAAATTGTGTAAGACCCTTATTCGCTATCTCTGGCACATTGTCTGGTTTAACCCTGAGCTGGTTATCAAAGACTGAATGATACACAGATGGAGAACTCAGCACCAGAGGTATTCTGAACAGCTGTCATTCTTTGATAATGATAGTTAGAACCTGGCATCCTGAATTTTGTAAACTGACCATTCTTGAAAATACAGCAATGTCAGCTGGGCACTGTAATTTTGCTGTGTCTCTGTGTGCAGAACGTGTTTCATAGGAAGTAGTGAATGCTCTTGTTTTTGCAATGCCTTCAAAATATAGATGAATGTTGGAAAATGAGGATTTCCTACCTTTAGAAAATTTTCTCCTTCAATGGGAAAAAAATGGTAATTACCAATTTTTTTATTGGGGACGGTAGGGCTACAAAGCAAAGAAAGAACAGAAGGAAGATAAAAATGTAAACAATCCGAAATACAAGTGGCTTGTGCTGATGCCTACTTTTCCTTTTGAACTTCAGGCACAAGGTGGAGATGGAATTCTTCAAAGAATCAAGAGAATAATTTATGATGCCAAGTCTACTGTAGGAGTAAGTAAAAATCCTGTGCACAGTTAGATTACATATTTATCAAATTTAAAAGTAACATTCGGTAAGAGTTGCACTAATCAGAATGAATTGAGTCTCATGTGCTTTTCATTTGAACGTATACTTCTGAGCATTCAATCTCTTTTAAAATTAGTTAATTTCAATATGGAGAACCTTTAAAAACAAATTTCATATCTTATAAAACATGTGGTGTCAGGAATAATTGAATGGTCTCTGAATGCATCATAATAAGGCACTGTGAATGTAACTAAAAGCTGGAGCCAAAACCAGCCTTCTCTTGGCAAGTCATTCCATCAGACCTTAATGTCTAGCAGTACTCATCATATGGATCAGTGCCATTTCATTATGAGTCTCCATTCCTCTTATCCATGTTTGCAACACTGCCTGGCTTGTGAAGACATGCTGCCTGCAAACCACATGGTGAGCAGTACTAGGTATAATTGCTGGACAGGAATAATATTTAAGGCCTTGCTTACTAGCCTGCTAAGGTTACCATTTGTGTGCTTGTGCACAAGATGAATTTACTTGTGAAAACTTGGACATTAATTTTGAATCTCCACAAGAAGCTGTCATGTCAAAATTGAGTTATATAGAACTCTGAAAGGCTCCACAGCGTTTTCTGCATGACAGTCTGCATAGATACTCCCACCAGCTGTTCTGTGGATTTGCCTTAACAGAAACTTAAGGTGATTGTTATGACTCAAAACTTTTGCAGTCCAGAAGCATTATGAGGTACAGCATGGAGGGTGGTTAAATCAGTGATTTTAGAGTCCTTATGTATAAATTATGCAAGTCCATAAAATTACTTTTTTTTTTTTGTAAATGTTTTATTCCCTCTCCTAAAAAGGAGAGATATTTCGCTTAAAATTTAGAAAAATAGGAAGGGTATATAGAGGGATAAAGAAAAGAGTTGAGTGGTGTTAATGTATTAGTATATTATTCTTTTAGTATTAAAAGTTAAAGTCCATAGTTTCTTCTGCAGTCAGGCGTTCTTCTTTTCTTTTGTCTCTGTTAAACAAAGCAATTAATATGTTAGTAATGTCATTCTGAGATTAATTTCCCTTTCAAAGTGTAATCTGAAAAAAGAAAAGAGTTTCTAAACTTTGGGGTCCTTCCCTCTTTTTTCTCTCAGGTTATACTTCGAACCAGTCGCTCCTCTGTCTTCCTCGTCTTTCACCTCTCCCTCCGAGCTGCTGTCTTCCACGCTTAGTTCCGACATCCACTTGGCCAGATCTGCACCTTCTTCTTTGCTGGCGTGCCTTTTCAAAAAATCTTGAGCCTTGAAGATAGAGTCTATTTTTTCTCTTT